GGGGAAAACCCGGTGCCTCTGCTGGGAGCGGGGCCCACGCTCGGTACGGGCCGCCAGGCCGGTGCGCCGAGCGCCGTGGGCAGCGCACGGGGCCCCGCTGGTGCCGCATCCCCGTCCCCTCCCCGGGACACCGGGCCGCGCTTGGGATGTCTCCGCCGCCCGGCTTTTTTTCCCTAAAACGTGTAGACAGAGATTTAAAAAAAAGTACCTCCGCGAAGTCCCTCCTTCAGCCGGAGCCGCCGCAGGCTTTTGCCAGGAGCAAGGGGAGCGGGGCCCTCATTTTATCCTTTTTCTCATATTTATGGGCTCCCTTTGACGGAAACGTAATTTGTATAATTAGCCGAGCGCACACGGGCGACTGATGAGAGCGTGCAGCTCTCGACGCTAATTGCTCTCAGGAAAGGATTATGGTGAGAGATTTGCTTTCTAGCGTCAGGATGGGCAGCTTTCACTTCAGCTTGTACCATTGTGCGGTTAAGGTGCTTGCGGTCTTGGAAAAGCCCCTCTTCCAGTGGGGAGGGAGCATCCTTGCCCTCGGCTGGCCCGTGGGGACCTACGGGGGTCAGATCCTCCCGACACGCCCTGGCTGCAGTGGCCCAGCACAGCGCAGCGACCGAACAGGAGAGCCCAGCATCGGGCCCCTCAAAATTCCCCCTTCTCCTCACTCGCTCTCTGCAAGCAGATTGGCATTATTATTATTAATTATTCTGATTTTCTCCCTTCATATGAACAGAAGAAGGGGTGGTTTGGAAACGTTTCTCGTGGTCGAAATAATTTTATTTGATTCAGAATATACAGTTTAATTCCTCTATCTACAATTATTTACAGGGTTAAAATAACATTGAAAAAAAGTCTCTGGAAAAGTTGAGGTCATAGATTTCAAGGCACCATTGATAGTGTCCACAGCTGAGCCAAAAAATGTCCGTATTGTATAAAAAAGGGTTTCCTTTGAAATGCAATAAGTTACATGCACAAGCTTTACACATTTTAATCTTTTTGTTTTGTTTTGTTTTCCCTTTTAAAAATTCCCCATATGCATTCTTTTTGTTATTATTCCTTAACAGCAAAACACGGGAGTCCAAGGGAAAAAAAAAAAAAAAAAAAAAAAGGGTCAGACTCTAATAAATTGTCCCAGAGGCCAGCGCTAACGGGTGCTGTAGGGAGCTGTGGGGTTGGAGGTGGGAGTTGATGGAGTTGGCAGCAGGGTACCAGGAACTGGAGCCTTCCAGGTAGCTGGATGCAGGGGACGGGTTGGAGTTTGGAGGGTGAGCATGTGCGTGGGCATGGTGGCTGAGGGAGCGGGATGAGCCCTGAGGTTCCCAAACTGCGGGCGACTGTGGAGAGTTGCAGGCCATGGGATCGCTGGAGCTGGGGCTGTGCTCTGGAGGCATCTCCCCGTTCTTCATGATCTTCTTGATCTTGGATCTTTTATTCTGAAACCAAATTTTCACCTGGGAGGAATAAGTTACATGCACAAGCTTTACACATTTTAATCTTTTTGTTTTGTTTTGTTTTCCCTTTTAAAAATTCCCCATATGCATTCTTTTTGTTATTATTCCTTAACAGCAAAACACGGGAGTCCAAGGGAAAAAAAAAAAAAAAAAAAAAAGGGTCAGACTCTAATAAATTGTCCCAGAGGCCAGCGCTAACGGGTGCTGTAGGGAGCTGTGGGGTTGGAGGTGGGAGTTGATGGAGTTGGCAGCAGGGTACCAGGAACTGGAGCCTTCCAGGTAGCTGGATGCAGGGGACGGGTTGGAGTTTGGAGGGTGAGCATGTGCGTGGGCATGGTGGCTGAGGGAGCGGGATGAGCCCTGAGGTTCCCAAACTGCGGGCGACTGTGGAGAGTTGCAGGCCATGGGATCGCTGGAGCTGGGGCTGTGCTCTGGAGGCATCTCCCCGTTCTTCATGATCTTCTTGATCTTGGATCTTTTATTCTGAAACCAAATTTTCACCTGGGAGGAGAGGAGAGGCAAAGAGGGAAGGGGGAGGGAAACCGACACTTTTAATGCCCGCTCGG